AAGGGAGTCCCCGGCCGAGCTGGAGCGCCGCTCCTCTAACGGCAATCCCGGCGAGAACCGGCACCTCCGGGGGAAGGGAGTCTCCCGGCCGAGCTGGAGCGCCGCTCCTCTGAAGGCAATCCCGGCGAAAACCGGCACCTCCGGGGAAAGGGAGTCCCCCGGCCGAGCATGTGCTCAGCCTTGGCGCCGGGTCCCTGCGTCGGAGAGCCTGGGTAAGGAGTGCCGGGTAAATCAGGACCGATACGTTGTTGCCTCGCTTTTCGCCGCCTTCAGGAGCTCTTTCTATCAAAATCAACTAAGAAATGGTCACTTAAGACGGAAGCTAGAAAACGCTTTAGGCTGCAAAAAAACAACAACAAAAAAACAGTGGTGTGCTGCCAAAGGCCTACTTTGTGTCTCATTGTTTTAAGGATGCCTAACAACTGACAAATCATCAGACATTTACACACACGATGCGTACGATGTGCATGGTATGGCATATCGACCAATCCATTTGCTGGTCTCACTGTCTGTCCGTTCGTCGGCGTCAAAACTGGGCAACCATGGCGTGTTAATCACGCTACGAGCAAACGGGAGTTAGTGCTGACCAAAAAATGGTACTCTACTGACCAAAAAATGGTATTTCTACCGCTCTACCGCTCTAATGGTGGCGGTTCACGCATATTTTATGTTTCCATGCGCCGGGCCTCGTGTACAACACCGATGCCTTCTTCCACCGCTTCAATCGACAGCTGGTAGAGAAGGCAAACACCGAGCTTAGGCGCGATGCTGGGCGCGTCAAGTATTCTCCGCAAAGCCTGATCGCTCAACACGTACGAATCCTGCTACGCACAAATGTACATGCAGCACAGTAGATGAATGTTTTTTATCAGTATCTTGGAGCCGATAAGAGTGAGGGTAATGGACTCTCAAAGGTGATATGGCTTCGGAAGGCGATTTATGTCGCCAAGTTTTCTTTGCCATTCAACTGGTGTCACCATCGCTGAAATAAAAGCTGGCATAAAAGCAACTTGTAATACAAGGAAGATATTGTCTGTGCGTTTGCACGGAGAATGTGTGCTGGGAAACTGACCGCATCGTTCGCTAACGAGCTGGCACGTAATAGAAACTTAAGGTCAAATTACCAGCACGCTAAAATAAAATCTGACTTGAACACCAATGCAAGCGAAGGCAATGCATGCTCATTGCATTATCTGTATGCCGAGAACATACATACCAACAAACTGCATTTACCTTTAAGCCTTGGAGATATGGACGCTTGATTTGCTCTAACAAAACGCTTGAATAAACACCGACATAAATAGCAGCGCAAGTGACACAAGAAACATATGCATGCTAAACCCAAAATATGTAAAGATTAAGCTTAGTCAGTGGGGCAGCATTTGAATGACTTATAATAGGTCGCCAAATGAATGATCCGTTAAGTTAGGCACCCGGCAGGCAGCGACATATTGCAATGCATTCATAGTAAAAAGGCGAGCACAATTCTGAACAGAATGCAATGTATCTTAGCAATGTGCCTCCGGGTATCAGTTTTGAAGATCTAGGGTGCATATTTGATAGCTCAGATACTTTTCGGTACATCGAATGAAATATGTGGCGGGGCCCCGCTCAGATGGCGCTTCCGAGGATTTACCCGCGAAACTACCGGAACACGCCGGCTATCGCTTAAAGCAGGCAGGTACAGTTTCAAGGCTAGAGCCAAGACGGCAGCACAGTTGAATTCCAAAATGTGTTTTATCTCTCATTCTAGGGAACATTTTTGATGATGCTTATAGGTCTTGTACAATCAGCTGAAATCTGAAATGAGCGGCTCACATCCTTATGGCAGCTGACGCTCCCGGCCGGCCAACGGCCTGTCGCTAACGCGGTGTTTGACACACTATGTTTAAATTATGGCACAATTGAAATTAACGCATATGCAAGAGGTTCATCTAGGAGATCAGATGGAAGCGATCGGAACATTTGCCGATAAATTGGGGACGTGACGCGCCCCGGATCTTGGCACATGTGGCCAGATGACTTAGTCGAAGACGGACTATGTCCCGTCTGTGACCGATTATAGTCAGATAGTGTGAGAAGTGGTCACGTTGTGTTGACAGCTAAAGAGCAGACGAGTATTCTTGGATACGGGATGATCGCTGGGCGATGGTTACGTGACGTTCGCAGATTTCCGGGATGTGCTCACGTGACGCTCGCAGATCTCTGGGCTGTGGCCACGTGACACTCGCAGATCTCTGGGCTGTGGCCACGTGACGCGCGCGGATCTCCGGGCTATGGTCGCGTGACGCGCGCAGAAAAGTGATTCAGTCACTGGTGGTTTGGCTCGAGTGGTGTGGGTGTGGCAGGATTCTTTGTTTTTTGGTTTTGTCAGTTGGACGATTTTCTTTGAGTTCGACTCACCAAGTGCACCCTCAAACCACGGATTTGGCTCAAACTTGTTGCATCGGGTTATCCTGGGCGCTGCGGTCGACTGTGAGGATATCATAATAATCAGGTCAAGGAACCAAAGGTAAGAGCCTAAGGCAGGTTGCAGATGATTTGCGGCAAATATTGTTGCAAGTGCGCTTGCATCTGCCATCAAAAGTGATAGGCCTATCAAATCGTGTATTTCTGACTCCTATCAAAAATCAAATACGAATCCGAAGCTTTTGGGACCTTGTTTCGCCAATGCAAAGGTGGCTCGCTGACCTTAGACCAACAGTCTCTCGATGAACTCTAACGGCTCCGCAAGTGATAGTTTGTATTACTTAAAGCAAATCTCACTGGGTTTTTTATGCTCAAGGCATGAAAGCAGTGTTTTTTAAGCTCAATTCATGCAAGCGGTGCATTTTGTCTCCTTATGCCTCAAAGTAGACATACCATGTCATGTCTGGGTTAAACTTGACCAGTCATAGCACTTTTGGCTGTAGTCCGCTGCAGTGACAACCTCAGTGGGAAATGATGGTACACACGCTCTACTTAGAATACATTAATATTTTCCATAGATGTGTCATCTAATCAAGCTTTGAATGCCCTCGGGGAGATAGGGATAGTCTGCGGTATTAAACATAGCATACTGACCTACTGACGCACTTAAGACCCCTGAGATGTGCTGAGCTGGAAAAGGTAGCATTCTGCTACTACGTAAGCAGTGAAATGAATTGCTTATCTTTTGTTACCAACGCATGTGGTTACGTATATGCATAGCAATTAGAGAGACTGTTCTTGGATAAATCTTGTTTTGTGTTCACCACAAAGGGGGCGCGATGTTCGCTTACGATCACGAGTTGCGTTTGATTATTTTTAACACAAGAACTTTTTCATATCCATTAGCCTAGCTTATTGATTAGCACTAAAACTTAATGACAGAACGTTCTTAATAAAGCTTGCGAACATAACATTATAACTGGCGCTTAATAAATCACACCATTATCAATACAACTCATTGGGTAGGTTATGGCATTACTGGTGTAGCTAATTAATAGATTTCAACACCGCCGGCCGGAATAACCAGTAAAGCTCTGCGCAAAATGTGATTAGTATTACATTGAAACAGATGCTCTTTTATTTCGGCTTAAAACAATGGTGTCAAACTGAAACATGAGTTTCAGATTACGTCCAATTTTGGCGGAGGTTGTCCATTATCGCACTTTCTCCAGTCTCCAATCGTGAACCCGGCGCGTGCTTCGGAAGTCCCTGCCTATGTGGTAAACAAAGTAATGCCAACAACACTCGAATAAAACCCATGGCATGCTCGCTTCTGCGGCTTCCATGACTGAGGAACAGTGATCGCTGAGGTGGCTACTCTGTGCGTACGCCTCTGTTTTCTGGTGATCAACCAGTCAGACAACTGGAGCGCCGTCCTACTCAGAAGCTCCACGCCCCTGTTGGCTGGTGATCAACTAGTCAGACAACTGGAGCACCGTCCTACTCAGAAGCTCCACGCCTCTGTTGACTGGTGATCAACTATTCAGACAATTGGAGAGCCGCCCTATTCAAAAGCTCCACGCCTCTGTTGACTGGTAATCAACTAGTCAGACAACTGGTGCACCGTCCTACTCAGAAGCTCCACGCCTCTGTTGGCTGGTGATCAACTAGTCAGACAACTGGTGCACCGTCCTACTCAGAAGCTCTACGCCTCTGTTGGCTGGTGATCAACTAGTCGGACAATTGGAGAGCCGCCCTATTCAAAAGCTCCACGCCTCTGTTGACTAGTAATCAACTAGTCAGACAACTGGAGCACTGTCCTACTCAGAAGCTCCACGCCTCTGTTGACTGGTGATCAATCAGTTAGACAACTGGAGCGCCGCCCTACTCAGAAGCTCCACCGGCGCTTTCCAGAAATGAACTTAGGAGTGACCTTAGACTCACCGAATGAATAATGCTAAACTTCGCAGTAGCAAAGCGGCGAGCTGCGTCTCGATTCTTGATCACATTGAGTAAGCTTATGGGTGTCCATATGCAATGGTTGACGGGTTGGGTTGGGCACATGTTGTGGGAAAATACGGGCATGGGTAGACTTTGTATGAAGTATCGGGTAGATGTTTAAAATGATAGTACACAATGCTACTGGTTGGGTTTCTTTTGGTCATACCTAGGCTTATCCACGCAGTGCTTTTGCAACTATACGCATAAGTGTAAGGTGGGATGTAAATGCTTCTGAGGCTTTCTGATATTCTATAACTGATTTGGTGAAAACAATGCAAACGGATGAGTAACAGGTGGTTACAGCTGGTTGCAAATGGGCAGCGGATGGTTAAGGATGCAGCACCATGAGTAGCGGATGAATTGGGTAAGGGAAATCTTCCTTGTGAAGGCCACTGGCGCTGAGAAGACGGCAAGCGGCCTATGCACGCAAGGTCAAGTCGCGCCACGTCATTGATACACTACAAGTCACCCACGCACCCATCAGGGACTGGCGGTGTATGGTTTAAGCACGAAAGGTTTGCGGTGCACCTTTCCACCGCCCTAGCACAGGCCTGCCATTAGCCGCTTCCCCGGCAAACATCAGGGTAACGGTCAGTCGGCAGCGGTAACAATCGTCTGAGCGGCGAGCATATTGCTTGTTTGCTGGTCAATGGCTTATGGCAAGGATTGAAGGCGGGTGTGAGATTTATGAGTTGTAAGTGCCTAGCACTCGCATGGAAAGCCCCATGGGAAACATTTAAGGTGATGTGGTACCTGAGTGAAGCATGCCATTGTCACGTGAAATGAGCCAAACAATAGATGCACCTGATATTTTTGCTACCGGCTTTCAATATGTAAATCACATGATTTTCACTACCCATGCCATCTGGCCCGTAGTGAGATCTCCTTGCGGCCTACAGGGCTTCAGACAAGCGCTATGTGTCGAGAAGTGACAACCACGCGGCGTCCTTACATACACGTGGAGACATGTATCAATCATTTTAGCATCAGACATCACGAAACACTGGCATGCATATGACGTCGTTAAACACCATCAAGCCGAAAGCTCTTGTAAGATCTGGCCAGCGGGTGCGAACATCGTCGGAAATAAAACATTGATGAGTGCTGCTGAGGTCTACGGGATATCACTTCCAACATGTGAATTGTTCTCCTTGGACTGTGCATCAGTTCCTTAATTACCATAGGCTTACAAGAATAGACCTGTATCGTTGGGAAAATGGCGTATGCAAAGCACCGCCTGTGGAAGCTCCAAAGCACCATCCTAACCACCTGCTTCTATACCAGAGAAATGGCGCAGGTGACTGGTGCCTGGTGCACTTATTGCTCTGTTCGACTTCACCTGCTTGCTCGGTTGCAGCGGATCATTAGAGCGCTTCAGGCATTAGCATTGCTAGCTGCAGAAACTATTGCTAACAACACTCCAACGCCAAGCAACATCGCAATGCAGCTAATGCATTTCCTTTTCCTGCTTCCCTTCATGCGATGAGGGCCGCGATCACGTCAGTGGTGCTATCTTGGTCAAATAGCCCGATAAGATAGCCGGTCTGGCGCCGGCAATATTTCGGCGTGTCCAGCACGATACAGCTCATAGCGCGCGCTGCCCGCACCGCCGGCCGCCCTGCTCCCTGTCCGCCCTCCACCGCTCCCCTCCCCCTCCCACCACCGCCGCCATGGACGGCTGCGGCAACTGCATGAAGTATTCCTTCGGCTTCATAACCTTGCTGATCTTTATCGGGGGCGGGGCGTTGCTGGGGATCGGCATCAGCTCGCTCGTCCAGGACGGCTCGCAGGTGGAGCACCTCATCTCCATCGAGCTGTACCAGGGCACGGCCATTCTCATCATCGTGGCCGGCAGTCTGATCGTGCTGGTCAGCTTCCTCGGATGCTGCGGCGCCTTCCAGGTGAGAGGGCTGCGGGGAGCGGTCTCCGGTCACCCGCCTGCACTGCTGTCGTCTGACATCTGACGGCAGGCTGACCCTCCGGACATGTGCCACTGCATGTGTCGCTTGAACAGACGGCACGGACGCTAAAATTCGTGTCGATTTGGCAGACCACCACTTCAATGATGCTTACAGCCAACTGGAATAAACCATTTCATTTCTGTGGATCAGACGGTAATACGGCACAAGCATGGACCGTAAGAGACCCTTTTCGTCGCTGCCCAGCTTAGGATTGCCCCATCAAGCTTTTGTCGAATGACAAAACGAAATCGACACCTTCATATTGCGTCGCAATCTCTTATTGGGGCACTTTTCATTTGTGATGCCAGCTGTTTGTTGCCGTGTTTGCCATTTTTCATTCGCCAATGGTTTCCAATCATGGCTGTCTTAAAACCACTGCGCCAAACATCGTAGAGCAAACGGTAAGCGTATGCCGATTGGAAGCCTTTACGTGGCGCATGTCAGTGAAAGAACCGTGGGTTGAGGCTGGTGCAGCCAATTTCAGTTTCACGTTATCAACGACGGCGTCAACGCCTTCTCATCTAGCCATTGATTTCGGCTGCCTGCCTTCAAAGGCAAACATTATTGTGCACCTTGGAAAGCAACCCAATATTAAGAGTACCCAAAGGGAACGACTATCCGGTGGCGCAGACATCCCGCCCTGGCGGTGCGGACAACCACCGAGAGCAGTGCCGAATGTGAACAGTGTTCAGTAAAGAGAACAGTGTTCTCTTTACATGCGCGGTGCTGTTGCACTCATGCACGGCGAGGCCTTAGGCGCCCGTGTTTGAGCTCCTATCTTGCCAGCCAGTTTGTTTTTTCGCAGTGATAGCGTCGATACCTGAACCCCGCGTGCTGGCGGCACTATCTCAAACTGCGCAGCGATCGCAGAACCCGTGCAGAGCTGAAGCAAATGCTGCGACGTGCCAAAGAGTCACAAGCGAACCCCGAGTGGTGTCGTTGGAGTGTTTGGGATCATCTGATGTAGCACCTGAATTTATATGTCGGTCCCAGCTTGTTTTAATGACCTGGCGCTGACGTGGAATATTGCATGCCAGGCAGAGTGAAAGGCGCATGTTGTTGCAAGGTGGGTACTGCTGCCTGAGCGCGTGCCGTTGCGATGCATCACTGTGTGCGTGAAGGTACTGTTGTTACTGTGTTATTCAAACCGTTGTGAAGTACAAGTGTGATGCAGTGCTGGGTTTTCAGTTTCCTCATGGAGTTCGCATTGCTATGAGCATCTGATCTGTTAAGAATGTAGAACTTACTATGCATGCCGTCTCTAACAATGTTCTCCCTTGTCTTTGCCTTTGACAAAGTCGATCACGCTTCTCCGCCTTTTCAGGAGAGCAAATGCCTGCTAGGCACGTTCTTCTGTCTGGTGTTCATCATGTTCGTGTTGACTGGTGCCGCTATCGTCACTGGCTTCGTGGTGGGCTCCGACAGCATTCTTGACAGTGTCGAAACAGAGTTGAGAGAGAGCATTCAATACTACAAATCGAAGGAAGCGGTAAAGGACGCGTGGGACGCCTTGCAGAAAGCCGTAAGTGACTCGGGTCGTTGGTCTTCAATCAAATTGGCTATCACGGTATCGTATTTTCTGTTTGTTATCTGATATCAGTGTCAAACCGAAAGAGCAGTTCCCGTACATTGTCGTCCAATAGATGATCCTTTTTCTGCTAAGCTCGTATGCAGGAACACGTCCCTGTTTGTTCCCTTCGTAACGTCTTTATTGAACTGCGATTCGAGTTAGCGATGAAGCAGACAATGAAGAGCCTTAAGAACTGTCAACGATTTGGTGGTTGTTTTATATCAAGCTTCACATAGCCTGTAAATGCACACGCAGAGTCTACGGTACAGCCATGCAACGTGGTATTGTCTGAAGATATTGCGGGTGGGGGAGGAAGCATTAGGAGTTTCTGTCAGTTTATTTTCCTTCAGGTCTGTCAGGTTTCTGTCAGCCCATTTCGTTTTCACAGCGCCCAGTTCGAAAACAAAGTGTCACTGATGATGTGCAGACCGATGACACCTATTACCCAAATGCATAGCTGTCTGAAAAAGAGAATAGTCTTCATGCAAGCGCATGGTGCAAAGACGTGCTCTACACCCCTACATGGTTCCTGTTCGGATGCACACGCCGGCAGGACTGTAAACAGGATTTCTTAATTGGATGGCGCAAGAGCAAGCCACAACAAAAAACTACCGCGAACCAAGTTTTTCCACCGCAGCACCATCAAGCTTATATCGTATCGTAAATTATATTTTTGATCTCGATCTTTTTAGTTTTGTGTGTCCAACTGGCATTTGTTGATGTCGACGTTTGGCCACATGCATATTAATAGAAGATCATCGACTTCTTGGGGGGATAACCACCGTTCTCGGCCACCACCATGTCCGTGCATCCATGAGAGCTGGTCTAATTTGACTTAAGCACTTGGCATGTGCTGTATTGGGCGAGCTATCATGTGGAACCGAACTGAATAATTGGCAGCGGACGCTCTGTTTGCATGTTGTGCTCCCGTGATCCACCCGTTGAAACTGTAGCAGAGCGTGGGTACGGGATGAACACTCGAGCAGAGTGGCGAAGAGAACCAACAGTGAGAGATTCAGATAGGCGATTCGGTTGGAATGTGAGTGCGAGCGGGCTTGTGTCACGTCCTGAGCCGTCTTAACACGCGCCCGGGTGGCCGGCTGGATACCCTTCGCGCGAGTGCGGGGTCAATTTGACCCCTTGAAATCGCACGAACTAAGAGAGCTAGAGACACAACATTCACAGAGTGTGTTGACCTGTACATGAACTTACTTAGATCAAAGTTTGAGGTTCTTACGTCATGACCTTTGGGTCAAATAAGGTTTAACAAGTTCAACTTCCAGGTTGGTCTCTGAAGAGCCCCTGGAACCTAGATAACTGTTCTAAGCAAGAGCTCCCATGCTCATCTCTAAGGCCAGTGGCCTCGTTGGATGTTTTGAAGGTCATGGTGACCAAATCACACAAAACCGCTTTGAGTTTTGTATTTGCATAAGCGGCAGAAATTACGTTAGGCAATATGTTCCTCAAAACAAAATGTTGATCAGAGTTAAACTAGGTCAGTGACCTATTCCGACCTTTAAGTAGCCTATGGAAGGTGCATAATGCGGTTTCTGTTATCAATAAATTCGAAATGAGCACCAGGGACTATTTCATACAGCAAGCCCTAGAGTTGATTAAATGGAAGTTGAAGCTAGAGTTTTTAAAGTTGAATAGGTGCATATACAGTTGCAGGTCTTTCAGCTAGAGTTGAATACAACATACTGATTTTCGCCTGGGTCTGGCCTTCATAATTGACCTTAGGCCAATGTAGCTTGTTCATTAATTTTTTGTGGTCTGAAAGAAGGTATCTCAGAGATGTTCGGCTTCATCTAACGCTCCGTTGTTGGATCAGTTGGGACGACTCCCTAGAAATTGCTTTCGCTGAGACCATGGCGTGATTTGGACCTGCCATAGTTCAGCGACCTTGCAAGGTACATCTAAATTTTTATGCCAGACGATTCACTATTCAGTTGTTTACAGCCATGCAAAATTCGGCGCAGGTATACCGCCCCGTTTGGAAACCATTCCGGAAAACTTTTGGGGAGGGACAGATTGACTCCCACTCGAGCACGTGTTAAATGTCGTCAGACGACGGATATGGTACAGCACTTTCCTGTGTGTATTCCATCACGAATTTCGCCCTCGACCACGAAGCATAAGATTGAGTTCTTAATGGTGGTCGGGGTGCGTTAGGGCGAAACGCTGTCAGCCGCCTTCCCGCAGATTTTAGTTATGATGGAGGGGGAATTAGTCTGAGAACGGGTTTTAGTTTTGGTGACTACAGAGCCGTTCGCTGGGGTTTCAATGTCGAGATCGGATGCGCCACAAATAGCCCGAATTGTTTTGTTCCGTCAGAAAACGTTCGCTTTCCGGAATGAAACAGTCTCGTCTGTTGGTTTCACAACCAGAAATGACCTGTGGCGATCCAGAAAAGACTCCTAGTCCTGTTTTGGCAAGGCACCGTGCTAAGACGAGCCATGGTCGGAGCCATATCGGGTCGAACGGCTAAGAGGGCCAGGGGCCTTTGCCTTAGTTAAGTGAGTGTCGGCAGCAATTGGTGGCAAATCTTCAGCAGGGCAGATCCAAAGTACAGATCCAAGGTACAGATTCAGAGGGCAGATCCAGAGGCGATTGCAGTGTGCATGCGACGTTCAGCAGCGGGAGGAACAACCCCGGCGCCGCGCTGGAGCCTTCCTGTGCTCATGAACCACCCGAGGCCTTTCGAGTGTTAGTTGCCAGCTCCTTCTTCACTTCGGTTCCCCATAGTAGAGGGGTGTGGACAAATCTAAGTGATGAGGGTTGTGTTTAGACTGCCACTGCTTTTGAGAGTCATCCAACGCTGTGAAATGGCTGCTGCTTGCCCGACCTGCCATCTGTCGGCTAAACACCAACTGGCCGTCCCCGACAAGTCCTACACGCGCACTAGAACTGTTGGTGCGGACCGGCAACCCCTTTTGCATCCTGTGCTGTGTCGTGAAATATCTCGAAATGTTTTGCGGGACCTCATTCAACACCTCTTTTGCGGCGCGAGTGATACGGCCTCTGGGCGCGGCCAGGGCCCGGTTCAATGGCCGTCCAGAAAGGTCCGTTGGCCGATGCCCTCTGGTTGGCAACTCCAGGGGACACAACGAAGCATTGAAAATATCTGCTAGTGGGAGCCGAGTACTAACCCGCTGATGACTGTTTCAGTTCGAATGCTGTGGCGTAGACGGTCCCGAGGATTGGACAATTCCTCCGCAGTCCTGCTACAAGGAGGGAAGCAAGAAGCCCTTCGTTAATGGATGTCTCCACGATGTGAAGGATTTCATCGATAGCAATGGCAAGCTGATGGGGGGAATCGGGATCGGCGTGCTGGTGCTGTTGCTGCTGTCGATGATCTTCTCGTGTGCCATCATGAAGTCGATCCATTGAGTGGCAGTGGATCGGGAAATATATCTTGATGCGACACTGGCTGAATTCCTTTCACAGCTCAGCTACTTATTCGGCGATATTGACGGCATGCATGCAAATGCATGCAACGGATGGTTTGGCCACTTGCTGCTCCCAAGATGGGAATTTCTCTCACCTTTCCCAGGCGACGGGACCTCACGGACCTGCCTTTTGCATCCAACAAATCATACATGTCTTGCCAATTGTGTCATGCAGCGTGAGGCAATTCCCAGGGGTATAGACACATCCAGTTGTTCATGTGGGCACTAACAGCCTGGTTGAGGAAGTGCAAGGGATCACTGTCGGTAAGCGGTAGTGTACGCGACCGTTTAAGTTCAAATTACGCCAGTGTATTGCCCGCGGTCGTCACGGCATGGCGTTATACTATGCTCAGAACGAACAGGAATGCGCGCGTGCTGTTCATGGGGTCCGCGCAAAAATGCAGCACCTTTAAGGCTATCAATCACGGGATGTCGTTTTGTACTATATTGGGTTCACTGATACATGCCACGATATTCGACTGGGTCCCCAAAGCCCATCTGCCCCCTCCCCCAATGTTGAAATACAAGTGCATGCAAAATCCTACAAATGTGAATTAACTGGATCGAAGTTAACAATATAGCCAATAATAAATACTTCCCAGAAAACAGGAACCACAAGCACGTAACTGCACATTGAACACATGCTTTTTGCAGGCGAAAGAAATGCACCTACACAATTTCTACTACATCACCTTTCCATTCAGAACAGTGTCTCTAGGTTGCTAGTTATTCACCTCAGATTCCAGGTGGGGATTTCCAGCCATTTGCGTAGGAATCCGTTGTGAAAGATTTACTTTAACGGGCTTATCCTGTCCTGCGTAAGGCTAGGAAGATACACTTAAGGAAATCACACATATGCACGATCGTGCATTTCAACAGCAAACAGGCAGTTTCTGCTGTAAAGTAAATGGATGTGTAAGTGGACCCAGTGAAGTAAGTGGATGTGTGGTCAGTGTTCATCGCTGCCACAGGGGTCCTTAGTACAACCGCAGCAGGGGATCCCCTGGCACAGCTGAAACAGGGCATTGGCCTCAGCGGATCGGCGGCGAGCAGAAGTATTGGACGTAGTCTTTTAATTAAACGGGGAGACAGAACATGCACTTTTTACTGTTCAACATGTTCGTTCCAAAAGTGTCTGAGCCTATTTTGGCGTGGAGTTGCATTCATATTACAGGGTAGAGGTGGAACCCCCGTCCTTTAATGTAAGTCCAATTGGACTTGGCTTATGGGCATCATGATATCATGGAAAAGTCATGAATAACAATTAAATCAAGTGTTTTCTTATTCTACTCAAGGGGATAAGTGACCACACGTTTTTGCCGAATGGTATGGCTTGTCAAAGCTCCAATGTTTATACGACGTTACATAATCATGCATTGTGTACAACTTCGAAGTATAGCGAGATGAGTTCATAATGCGGTTCAGCAAGAAGTGTTTTTGGAGAAGTGGTACAGCAATGCGTTAATGAACAGATGATAAGAGACTGACAAGATTGACGATGGAGTGGGCAATCAAGAGAAAAAAATGTGAAAACGTGTGTTGTTGGCTTAGGGCTATGTCCGCTTTTTATGACATTGTATACATATATCTAATATTTCAGAGATGTATATAGAGTATGTCCTAGGCGTTTGTGTACGTTGTGCCGGGGAAAAGGTTTTGACCTGAGAATTTGGGTATGTACTCTGTGAAATGCATTTTGTGGCTGAATGTCTTGAATGTCGTTTTAGAAGGGTTCGATCTAGTGGTTCACTGTCTATAGTGTTGGTCAATAGCGTTTATGTTGCGTCTAAACAGTCCTGTACCATATCAATATCGTGTTGTAACCACAACCTATGATCCTCGTTGAAGAAAGGGCTTTTCACACCCTAACCCTTTGTATTCTGTTCGTCAAGCATGATTTCAGCCAGAATAGAACAGTGTCGGATAAATCGGAGTCGTTTTTTCGCTTGTCAAGAAATGCATCATGACAAGTTTCGGACAAATGCTAAGGAATATCGAGGAACACAGCTGTTACGTCGCGTCCTGAAGCTAGAATTCTATAGAAGTCGTAAGTGAGACGCATCATACAACACATCGGTTTTATAGACAGGCTTTCACGATACTTCATCTATGTTTGCAGATAATTTCTAAATTGCAGATAATTCGTCACAGAGCTGAACAGAAGGCATGGCGGACCCAGCGGGTGGTGTGTGACATGCAAGCACGCTTTAGACAGAACCGGAGCTCGGTGTTGCAATCGAACACGAGTGTCTCACTAACGTATCGAACGTAATACCAGATGAGTGAGAGCACTCGTGAAAATGTATTGCTTGCTCTTGTGAATATAGCATTGTTTCCATAGATTTGGCATATTTATGCATAGCGTTTTGAATCTTGTGTCAGCAATGCATCTAAGATGTGGTCTTCCTCCGTTCGGAAATGTATGTTCGCTGCACTGGTGCAAGCTCCATCGGTGCAACGAAACCGGTCAGCTTCATAGCCCAGCCCACGTTCATCCATGACAATTGCGCTGACGCTCATCGGTGAACTCGTCTTAATATCCCACGAAAACTCTACGTCAGGAGTCACGATCAACGCACGAAGCCGGTCGAATGTGTTTAAATGTTTTTTGTCCTACTGATAAGATCTTGTGATATCAACATGGTGGTATCGTTCACCTCTGCTCCCATCTGATGTTTTCTGAGTCACTCAGGGCCCCTTCCTGTAAGACGGTGTTAAAGATATAAACTCTTGTAATTTTTTCCTTCTTCATAGGTACCATGAAAGGCACGAGAGACGTTGCCACGATGTATTTGTATTCGAACCGGTGTGCTTTCAGAAGGTGGTCGAGATATTTCAGTTTGTCATTGCCTTGGTTTGCTAGAAAAGCGAATTTATCTAGTCATGAACAATAAGTGCATCAACCCATTATCATGCCGCAATTGTGCATGTGCAGGCACTGGAACAGTAACATTGTCGCACGCAAAGGTTTTTGGTCGGTCGGTCGTCGGATGCTGCGCCGTCTGTGGTAAGCAGTTGGCGTTGTCGTCCAGGGGACTGGAGCCGGAGTCTAGCCGCGATTCCCGTTCTTGCGGTTCTTCCTTCTGTTCCTGCGTCCACCGCCGCCGCCGCCGGCGGGGCGCTGACCCGACTCCATGAGGGCCAATTTGTGCGCCTTGGCCGAGGTGCAAGCGTAGGCGGAGGACTCGGTGTAGCAAGTTTGGAAGCCGTTCATGCTGGTGTCCCCTTGGCTGGCACACTCGTCGATGATGGCCCGACCAGCCTGCTTCATCCACTCAGGCGCATCCAAGCCCTCCATGTTGACGCGCATAGCGTCGAAGTTGGCTTCGCCGCCGTCGGCCATGCCGACCGCTTCCATGCTGCACGTGACCGTCTCCTTCAGCAGGTCCATCTGCGTGCCCATGTCGGCCACCTGTTCGGCTGACGGCGGCTCCACACTGTTGTTGCCGCTCTGGACGGCCGACAGGTAGGCGGCAACGTACTTGAAGCCATCCTTCAGTTTGCCGAAGTCCAGATCAGTCCCCTCCATACAGGTCCTAAACGCCAGCTTTTCATCCTCGCTCCTCAGGTTTTTTAGGCAGAGGCTCTCGGCCATATACACGAGCGCCTGGCCCACATCGCCGCCGTTCTCGGCGTCCACGGACGCACCGAGCTCCTCCATCTTCGTCCGCTTGCACTCGAGAACGCTGAGGCTGTGCCAGCAGGACAAGAAGTAGACGCCCTGCTGTGCCACCGTTAGGTTGGGGCTCATCATCTCCTCGCACAGCTGAAGATGCTGGCGCTGCGCCTCCTGCCACTGGCTGTCGGACGAGACCGAGGCCAGCAGCTCGTCCTGGGCGCTTTCGTTCAGGCCCTGGTCGTCCACAAGGTTAAGGCTGAAGCGAGAGAAAACAGCTTTCAGACAGGAGCGAGGTGATCAGGAGGCAAATATATAGGCGGCTCAATGCTCAGGATGTATATCAGACAGCCAGACAGGCTACAAATCAGACACCACCCCCACTTCATTCAAAACCCCTTTCACCTCCCCTTTCAGCGCATGCATGTGGCAGGTGCGCAGTCAGGTTGCCTTAAAGGGGCTGGAGAGGGAGCTTGTCTTAAACGTACTCCACACTTACGTGCGGCTTAAACTGAAATAGCCCTTTTGAGGTTATTCCCTGCAGCTTTCGATCATACCCTTTCAAGGTCTCAAATCCTCTTGTTTCTGAACTAGGCGCACACAAACTTGAACCTACTAATTTGTGCTTCCTACTTGGAAGTTACCCACAGACGCGTGGCGTCATAGAAACGTAACATGAATTGCGCCTTCTCGATGCCTATATTCTGTGCGAGGTCAAGACAAATTCGACCATTACTTTATTCGTATCTTGAGGACGCCAGCGTTAACGTAAATCGTTGCATAAAACAAAGCAGCTGGCTTTTAACTAGCTCAACGCGATAAATATAAGTCTCAGTCAAAAACAGCGTTTTGTGTTACGCAATACAGGCATTTAGGCAATTTTAGTAGCATGACCGGCATGGGCCTGGGAATTGAATTACTTACAACAGGCACTGTAGACAAGAATGCAAATGCATGTTAAAAACATGCGATACTGAAACAAAACTACGATGCCACGAGAAAGGGCCGAAACAAGTGCACCTAACACGCGCTCGGGTGGGGTCAACTTGACCCCGAAGGTTTTTCCAGAATGGTTTCCGAACGGCGCGGTGTAGTCGCATCAAATTTTGCATACATGTAGCAAATTTAATAGCGGATCGCTTGACGTCGCAAAACTTAGGTGTACCTTGTAAGGTCACTGATCTATGGCAGGTCAAAGTCAGGCCATTATTTCAGCGAAGACAATTCTAGGGAACCGTCCAATCTGATACAACAACGGAGTGCTTGACGAGGCCATACATCTCTGAGATGCTTTCACAGGCATCACAAATATTGAATGAGCAAATAACGTTAACCTAAGGTCAGGTATGAAGGTCACACCAAGGTCACAACCGACCTGATCTATTACTCAAGGGCTTGCTGTATGGGATAGTTTGTGGCGCTCATTTCGAATTTATTGACAGCAGGAGCCGCATTATACATCTTCCATTGACTTCTTTGAGGTCAGAAAACGTCACTGATCTAAGATGACCCGGGTCGACGTTTTGTTTTCAGGAGCATATTGTCTACCGTATTCTTTGTCGCTTGTTCAAATGCAAAACTCAGAGCAGACTTGTATGATTTTGGTCACCTTGACCTTCAAAAGGTCAAACGAGGTCAATGACCTCAAATGGGTTTTTGAACTTTTGTTTAGAAACAGTTGCCTAAGTTCTGGGGGCACTTTGGAGACCAACCTGGAATCTGACATTTTTGGACCTTATTTGACCCGAAAGTCATGACCTAGGAAGCTCAAAATTTGACTTAGGTGAGATCACGTACAGGTCAAGACACCCTGTAAATTTGGTGCTTCTGGCTTTCTTAGTTCCCGAGATCTCAGGGGGGTCAAATTGACCCCCACCCGAGCGGGGTATCTAGCCGGCCACCCGGGCGCGTGTTAACGATTGTCGGCTTATTGCACACGCATGAATCAACAAGCCACCAGGCGGCAAGTTGCAGCATTACAAAACCAGTTCAGTACGGTGGCAATTCTGACACGGTCAGCCTGGCAGCAACTCTGACGTCATGAAAAAGTCCTTGATGCAATCAAACGATGACGTTTTCAAGAATATAATTGATAAGTAGTGAACTAGTGTTATATAGAGCAGTCTTTCGCATCTATGAGCATGCCAATAGTTGCGAGTAAGATTTTCCCACCATATCTGATGCTTGCCTCAGTATCTTCAAAGGTGGAACATACCGTTACATATGCGCCCGGTGGCCGTCTAAATACCCTTTGGTTGAGTGGGGGCCGTAAATTTTACCCCTGAGATCTCAAAGACCATGCTATATGGAGACACAAAATTCACAGGACCGGTCAGGCTTTAAGTGACCTCAATTTTGGTAATATTTGAGATTTCTAGGTCATCCCCTTGGGTCGAATAAAGTCCAATAGGTAAACATCCAGATTGGTGTCATAAGTGCCCCAGCCCTCCTCATGCAGTTGCCTTGAGCCTAGGCATTTAATTCACAGTATAGATTTGCCTACGTGTGAACTCACTTATATCCAAAATTTTAGGTTTTTGAGTCATGAACTTCATGTAGAATAAGGTCAAACAAGGGGTCAAATTCGGGACTAGGGTCCAAAGTGCACCCACACATCCCATGGAACCACCTTGAGCCTATTTATCTGTTGTAAGATAAAGATTACTGCTGTTCCTGTTAGGTTACGGACCTAGTTTGACCTTGAGAAAGCTATGGTGATCCAAAACCTACTAGATTGTTTGATTTAGAAATTTCAATAAGCGTCAGCCTTACGCTAGGTGACATGCTCCCACAAAGAAAATATCTATTCGCATAATTTTAGCAAGTGACCTACTCTGATTTTAAGGGGTCCATGGAAGATTTTTGCTGCGGTCCTTGTCATTAACAAGTCGAAGTAAGCATCAGAAACTGCACCATAAGGTGGACTCTCCACCAAAAAATCAGGTTGTTTTTGAGCACGGTCTGACCTTCCCACCAAGTCCAAGGTCATTGAAATTTGTGGTAATTCTTCATTCGGTTTAATTGCCGTAAAAAGTATTTCAGAGATGTATAGCTTCGTCTAATTCTCCGTTTTTGCATGATATCAAACAGCTGCCCAGAAATTGCCTTCGCTGACAACCACGGCCTGACCTTGATCTACCACAGGTCAGTTATATTACAAGGTAGGACAGTAGTATTAGCTTTATTCCTCGGGAAAACAGGAGAACTAAGAGAACTAAGGCCACTACTACTGTCTTATCTATGTGACTAATGTTCCTCACTAATGCACTGAACAACTGACATTACAAGGTACATTTATATCTTGTAAAGGAAAAGATCCGCCATTCAATTAACCACAGCTGTGCTACTTTCAGAAAATATTTTGAAAATCTTCAGTAGGGGTGACAGTAAACTCCCATCGGAAAGCCCTTGATTGTGAATAAGCTTGTTTGTGACGATTCAACGTGTGCATTCAACCATACGCAACGCATGCATTTGTATGCATTTCAACGCACTCAATCCCTTCATCTTACCTAAATTTGTGATTGCCTATGTAACTATCGCAATTCACCCTAAGCCTTTCATAAAAACAAATGTATCTCCTGTTGCTACTTTACCAGGGTAGAGCGTAAGTACTGACATCGTATTAGGCACTGCGTAGTTCGCCCTCACCTCTCAGCCATGCACTGCAGCAGTCCCTCACCTCTCAGCCATGCACCGCAGCAGACCCTCACTTCTCGGCCATGCACTGCAGCAGACCCTCACTTTTCAATCATGCACTGCAGCAGACCCTCATTTCTCAGCCATGCACTGCAACAGGCCCTCATCTCTCAGTCATGCACTGCAGCAGGCCCTCACCTCTCAGCCATGCACTCCAGCAGACCCTTCATGCCGGTGCCGGCGGCCTGCGCCGTCGCGTTGCAGGCACTCATATCGGGCTCGTTGAAGTTTTCGGGGAGACAGCCGGCCGCCTGCAGGTCGAAATCCTCGGCCATGTCAGGGTGCGGGCCGTTCCTGCCACCTCCACCTCCGCCGCGCCCGCGACGTGCGCTGCCCCCGCCCTTCCCCCTTCCTGCCGGTACAAACGACGGCTGGAGAGCTGTCCGGAGACCCCACCCCCACCTAGAGAGCAGTGGGCGAAGTCAGGCACACTGGGGATTGCTGGATATGGCTGGATACCCAGCACAGCAGTGGGTACCATTCGGCGCCGATGGTGCCCGGTGTCGCGGCCAGGGTTCTGCTCAGCAGGAAGCCAAATCGGGTGATAGTGGGCCGTGTCAGTCAAGGGGTCAGGCCTACTTTTGGGGGAGGGTGTTTTTGGAGCTTGGTATCCTGTTTTTGTTTTGGGAGTCCTATGGGCACCTATGGACAACTCCAAAATGACCGGGCCTTCGATTCCAGAGAAACCTCCGCCATTTCCAGGAGGAAGACAGCTTTCCAAAAGCTCTCAAAAAATCAAAAAGCTCCCAAAAGTTCGGTGACTCAGACGCCTCCAGAGGTTAAATTTCCCTTACATGATATATGCGCACCAATGAGGCTGTATCTAAATCCACCCGCTAACCATGCATGTGTAGGTCTTCGTTATGCCATGTTTGCAGGAGGTTTTCATCCAATTTTGCCCTTTCTGGCTCAAAATGGCAAAAGTAGTAAAAATTAAGGAATTTGTGGCTTAAAGAAGCACGAAAACCATTGTTCAGTGTTCAGTAAACTTCAAACCCATCGTTTCATGAAGGCCTTACCCTACTTGCAGCCGTGATATAGAGTAGATCGGTACCCATCCCATCCCGTCACTCATTCCACATGGATACAAACAGGTTACCCAACAGCTGAACTCCCGTAGTGGTGACGCTGGTCATCATAAGGCGATGTTAGAGCCGGTATACCGAGTACGTTTGTAGGCGGCTTGTATTTAGCCGACAGTTTACGCCGCCGGAGCTCAATGTTGACGTCAGATAAGGCGCCATAAGCTCACCTTATGTGCTCGACTTGATCGGTGCCGATGGGAGGGAGACTGCTGGCATTTTAGATCACCGAAGTGCAATGAACAGACGTACGCCGATCCTTCAAAACCGTACGACGGCTTCAGCTGACTCTGCCGCAGGCCACCTCTATAACCAACATCAGCCGCCGCCTGTCCCATTCAGAGGCAAATAGCGAGCTCGTAAGCCGACTCGAACCCACCTTGCGAGGGGCCCGATTCACCCGCTGTTGGTGGGACAGGTTAAGGGGCGTCAGATTCACCTGCTGGTGACGGGGCAGGTTAAGGGGCGTCAGATTCACCCGCTGGTGGCGGGGCAGATTAAGGGGCGTCATATTCATCCTCTGGTAGCGGGGCAGGTTACGGGGCGTCAGACTCATCCGCTGGTGGCGGGGCAGGTTACGGGGCATCAGACTCACCCGCTGGTGGCGGGGCAGATTAAGGGGCGTCAGACTCATCCTCTGGTGGCGGGCAGGTTACGGGGCGTCAGATTCACCCGCTGGTGGCGGGGCAGATTAAGGGGCGTCAGATTCATCCTCTGGTGGCGGGGCAGGTTATGGGGCGTCAGATTCACCCGCTGGTGGCGGGGCAGATTAAGGGGCGTCAGATTCACCCGCTGGTGGCGGGGCAGGTCTGAGTCGCTTTAGGCGCTCTGCAGCGCCTGGGATAGCCTAAGGCCCAGCGCAGTGGTCACACAAAAAATTAGGTGACGTCAGAGGGCGAGATGGACTTGCCGAGCATTACGGCAAAGCTCACGTCTCTATCCATTCAGGCAAAATGCGTGGGCCAAATCCCTAGACACATATAGCCTCCGGGCCACGTGTACCTATCCCTATCAAAATAAGAACGTGATTAATACGCGTGCAAATAAAAGTTGACACCTGAGCTTACAAGCAGACACGTACAGTTCAATACACAGAGAGCAAAAAAGATGTTTTGTTACATCATGGAAGAAATTACACGAAATTGCGCCGCGCTACACTGAGCTTTCCGCAAAAAAAACCCATGTTCCTCACCGCCTCCCTTGTCAGATCCTGCGGGCGCCCCTGACTAACTCTGTAGAGATTAGCACCACACAAACGAGCCAAGACCAGCAGCAGGTGGTAGACCAGCCGTAGACCAGGCTGGTGGACCGGCCCGACCAGGCGGTAGACCGGCCCGAGCTGCTGCACAGCGAGAGGCCGGACACGGCGCCGCTTACGGGCGGCCTCGGAGAGTGCGGTGAGCGCGAGCAGCAGCACGGCGAGGCGGACGAGGGACGCCATGGCGCAGCAGTGACGCTGGTGGGGCGGAGGTGGCCCGTTTTATGACACGAGCGGCATCCAGTCATCACCGGATGGCCGGGTGTGTGCCCGGCCCACGTTTCGCCGGAAGTGCCCGCGCTGGGGCGCGCCGGCTGCAGCGACCCGAGCACCATGAACAGCAGGCGCGCTTCGGGCCCATCGTCACCCTGACGGCGAGTTTTTGTTCAACCATTTCATTGCTGGTGATTGGCGACGATCTCCGCCGCGCATGGGTGGACCTTTTCATGCCATGGAATCTGTTGACCCAAAATATGGCAGAAAAAATAGGAGCATACCATTGGATATTCCTCCACGCGGTGTTTCAAATCCATCCCACAAAAAACGTGCACGAATGGTGCTACTTAAGATCCTGGATGACATCGATCGGACTGTTGTCATCATCTGGCGCGTTAGTATATACACAACTTTTCCACAGGCAACTCTCCGAGGGTTGTCAGGTGTTATGGAGCCCCGACCGAGAAGGACTGCATAATGCCTAGGGTTCAACCACGTACGCGTCACAACACGAATTCTTTCATTGGAATCGCTGGGATTTGAACCGCGGCGTTCCGAGGGTAAGTCCAGTGCCCTTCCAATTGCGCTAACCGGGAGGCTGATAGCCAAATGTAATCCAGTCCTTCTCAGAACCCCATAACACATGACTGCACCCAGGTTGACCCGGAGACCCTCAATGATATGCCTCGGACATGGGTTTCCTCACTGATGCCACGAGAGAGCCCAAAAATTGACACAGGGACCTTAGTTAACACAGGAACCTTAGCTTATCAAGTCCCTGGTCAAAATCGGACAGAGGGCCCCGCTCGTTACCAGTTGTCCTAGCTGATAAAGGGGCCCTCCATTGTTCCATTGTGGACCCTTGTCGTTTGTCTCGTGTCGCATGTCATTGCCGGAGGAAACCGATCAGCGCAGGAGGCCCCCTCACATTTCCAGTTCCATTTCCGTTCCTATCCAGCTAATGGACCCCTCACCGACACTTCACCGTTTGTCACTGTGAGCACCCGGACCGCCGCGGGGCCGCTGATAATGCAGCTAATGGACCCCCCACCAACACTTCACCGTTTGCCACTGTGAGCACCCGGACCGCCGCGGGGCCGCTGATAATGCAGCTAATGGACTCCTCACCGACACTTCACCGTTTGCCACTGTGAGCACCCGGACCGATGCGGGGCCGCTGATAATGCAGCTAACGGACCCCTCACCGACACTTCACCGTTTGCCACTGTGAGCACCCGGACCGATGCGGGGCCGCTGATAATGCAGCTAATGGACCCCTCACCGACACTTCACCGTTTGCCACTGTGAGCACCCGGACCGCCGCGGGGCCGCTGATAATGCAGCTAATGGACCCCTTACCGACACTTCACCGTTTGCCACTGTGAGCACCCGGACCGCCGCGGGGCCGCTGATAATGCAGCTAATGGACCCCTCACCGACACTTCACCGTTTGCCACTGTGAGGATCCGGACCAATGCGGGGCCACTGCTAGTCTTACGAGCTCCGATGAGGACTTAAGCTAGGGGACTCCTGGCCAGGGTCGGCGCCAAGGATTTTGAATTGGAGGTAAAGTTTGCCAGGTGGCTCCTGGACAAAATAGAGTCTCATTATCGTAGCGCTCCTGGGCTGTGTCATATGAAGAGAGCCGATAGGACCGGGGTCACATGGCCCTTGAGCAAAAGTTACATGTCACCATGCTAATATTAAAGGTATTCATTTCATGTGAATACATGACGATAATTACAAAAAATAGTAGAGGATTTTGATTAACAAAGGGGTTCTCTTATCGAGCAAAAACTGCCAAGCCTTTTGCTGGAACAGTGACTCCTGTTCCAGCACGCAGACTCCTAATGTTTAATTGTGCATCCTAATTCAGCGTCAAATCCTTACAACTACAAGGGGGGGGGGGTGTTCTAAATCCAGCCAGGAGCCTCATTATGACAACCGCACATTCTTGTCCTGAACTGGCGTCATCTGATGCATGAAAATAGCCCCTTGTTCCAGAACATGGCCCCTAGCTCACAACGGAGGTTACCAGAACAAGACAAATGACTTCTTAACACAAGATAAGGCCTCTTGATCTAGAGTATGAACTACCAAATGCGTAAAGGACTCATGATCCAGAAAACAAGCAAAGGGCATGAGTATGACCTACCAGATCCATAAAGGAATTATGATCCAGGAAACAAGCAAAGGGTATGAGTATGAGCTACCAAATCCATAAAGGAATTATGATCCGGGAAACGAGCAAAAAGGAGCTTCCCAAATTTTAAAGGGCAAGACATGTTCATGCCACCCCCCCCCCCCCACCCCCCCCACCTCCACCTAGCCTACCGGCAGGGTTCAGCTGCCACCTCTGCTCCTTGCTGCAACGCCTCTTCTTCTAAATGGCGTTTGCGGACAGCGGCCTTGACCTTGCAAGTTAACATGGCTAGTCAAGGTAAGTCGGCACGATTCAATATACCGAGCCACTCAGTATACGCAGGGGGCCTTCTACACTGGTCTGCCTCTGCCTCTGATGATCTGCTACCATCTGCCTAGGAACACACGCTTTTGTTAAATATCCTATCCCCTATCCCACTCTATCTGTTAAACTGTTCAGGCATGCTCGATCGGTCGGCGGCCCATCACGTTGGTCGTGCATTCGTCTCGTTTGACAGGAAGATCCTACGACATTCACGGAAGCCCCCTGTGTTAACATGCAGCGTGCCCTTGATTGCATGAGGGCCGGCGGCAGTGGTACTGGGTTCTCCCATATTCTCGGAGGATCTTCACTGTTGACGAGGACGCTGTATGTTCAGCGGCCGTGGTACAGTCAGCTGTCTGATGGCCCTCCACATCGGTCCTGTTTAATTGCCATGTGGTCAGAAAGATATCACGTGGTTACCGATGACTCTAGATGCCACATGGTTACCGATGGCTCTAGATGCTACGCGATTACCGATGGCCCTAGATATTACGCGGTTACCGATGGGCCTAGATGTTAAACTGCTTGGGCCATCCCGATTGCTCAGGGGCCCTCCATATTTGTATTGGGTTTTCCCTATTGCCCCGAGGCCGTCAACGCTGTCTCTGGGCCCTCTATGTTGGCTTGTCGGGGATCACAGGCTGCACTTTTCATCTGAGACACGTCACTCCCCGTAAGCAGAGGAAACATCGCATTTATTCGTGTCTGCTATCGCCAGCAGACATTTCTCAACCCCTTTCTGTCCCCCCCCCCCCCCAGCCAACTAGTACAGGTACCTGATGAAAAATGATAGTGATGCCCCTGGTTCACAGTGAAATTACCAATTATGTAGTAGTTATCTGTATCTCGTTGCGTCGTTCTGTCATGGCTGCAACTGCTGCGCATGTGTAGCGTCATGCGGCCGGTGGTGCCTGTAGCCTGCGAGTTTCCAGCACTGTTGTGACTCATGGAATTTTGCCTGCTCGGTGACGTAAAGGGTTGAATGGACAGCATTGTCAGTGTGGTTCAGAGGCGCGCACAGGTGGACAAAGAGGACACATGCTCCTCTTCCTCGCAGGTTTCGAAGGGCCTGAGGGGCACCGCGGGACGCAGGATCAAGATTGGAAAGCTTGGAGGGTCCAAAGCACTGTTTGCAGGTCATATTGAGAGACCCAGCCACAGCGCCGACACTCAAATGTTGGTCAGAGTGAGTCAAATGCCAGTCAAATGTCGTCCTCTAGCGCCATTCGTGATATCTCTGGGATAATGGAGTCCTCTATGTTGCTCAGCGAGCGTCAAGTGCGAACAGTCGGCTCTGTGTTTGTTTGGCGTTTGTGCCCAATTTCGCAAGTGAGCGCAAGGGCGGGGCCGCCGAATGCCATTTAAGGCCGAGTGCATTAGGTCGGAACCCAGAAACAATAAGAGTCGGTTAGTGGACCCATAGCACTTAACGGTGGCAAGGTCGGTGGCAAGAAGCAAGGCCTCCGTCGGCAAAAGGCCCGCTGGCCGAGTTGTCCTGGGGTCATTCGCTGAGCAGGGATGGGGCTAGGACCCTGCATGTCAGAGAGCCTCTAGCGTTCGTCGTGACCTTCTAGCAATGGAAGGAGAAATGTAAAATGGCAATAAAAGTGTCTAAAATAAGTTAATGGACGGCCTGTATCAGCAAGGCGATTCAACACCACAAGTGGAAGGGGTCTCCGCCTGGTTTCAGCCAGGTGATTCAGTACCACAAGTGGAGGGCCTCCGCCTGGTTTCAGCCAGGTGATTCAGCACCACAAGTGGAGGGCCTCCGCCTGGTTTCAGCCGGGGGACCGAACAGCCGAACTGGGATTCTTGTATCAGACCTCGTGTAGCTGTACCAGATTCATTTGTGTCAGTACGGGCCCCTGTGTCGGTTCGGGGTTAACTGCTCCGGTCAAGGGGCCCTCCACGTCAGAGGGGAATCCGGGGTATGATGTACCCCCTAAGGGCTTCCGGCTCGACCAGAAAACCCAGCCACTGTGTCGCCATTTGGCAGTCGGTAGGTACGTGGGCTGGAACGGAAAAAACATTTCAGCTCCTGGCTGGGAAAAGTAATGATCCGTAGTGCTCTACCCAGGGGGCCCCTGCTCGGAAAAGGTATGGGACCACACGGTTCAATCAGGTGGATTGGGACAGGGTCAAAGCTTTACTATCGACGACAGCGCCCCATGTTTGCCTGAATGGGTTCATAAATTTCAGAACGAGTAGTCGAAAAGGTAAAATAAGTTTGGCCGCTTGAGTATGCACCCTCACAGTCTTTAGGAGCAAAACACCGATGTTTGGGGTTAAGAGTCGGTGGCGCCCCGCAGCGGTGGCCACCGCTGTTAACACCAGCAGGAGGGCGGCGGGCGCGCAAGAACGACCATGATCGGGAAATGATGCTTTCGAAAGACCTTGACAATCAATTTCTACGGTTTGAAACTTACACTATGGTGTATATCTTACCCGTGCAGTTATGAGGTCGATCCCCTAAGCGCCAGCTACGTTAACCAGCTTACAGTGCAAACC